TACTGATAACCAGAATTTACAGTAAAATAAGTTAAAACATTTTTTAAAAAATTTAAAAAAAAGAACTTAAATTTAATTTCAAATTGATATGTATATTTAATGGAATGAAATGATTGAAAACTAGCAATATAAAATTAATTGAAATGGATGACAAAATTAATTGAATGGGGTGACAAAATTAATTAAAAGGGATGACAAAATTAACTAAAAGACAAGAGAATTGATCCATCAATTTAAAATGATAAGAATAATAATTTTAAATACAAAATTAAATTTGAAATACAGTGATATGAAAATTGATTAAAACGATTACAAGCGATAAGCAGCATTGCTTTTACAATCATTACACTCACAGACATAACTTAGTTTGACTTAACTGCTAACCGAACCACATTCATTTCATCAACCAGTGAAATGACAAAAGTAGAAGGGTATATAGTTTCGATATTGTTTATTCTAATAGACACGGCATCAACAGGTAAATATATATATATATATATATATATATATATATATATATATATATTCGAAATAAAGATGTTTTAGGAAGATGATTCGTACAATCAAGGACTATAATTCAGGAAGTTACGATCTAATATGCGCGAATATCAAATGGAACCACGATCTTTGGGTTATAGATATGAATTGCAGGTTTCATCGAAATCGGATCAAAATTGGGGCCTCTATAGGATAGACAACATTGATATACCATATGTATACTATTTTTGAACGATGGGTGGCCATTTTGTCCGGCAGGTTTGGTCCGATTTTCACGTAATTCGAACTCAACCATTAGGGTGTAACGATATTCAAACGTTTTTATAAATCGGACGATAATTGTGACGTCTAGAGGGACCACAAGCTAAAAACGCGATTTTTCGTACAATCAGGGGCCATAATACAGGACGTTAATCACGCATATATATATAAAAATATATATATATATATATAAATATATATATATATATATATATATATAATAAAAGGTTATAGTTAAAGCTACTCTTAGGTGTTAGATATTCGAAATAAAGATGTTTTAGGAAAACTACTAGGTTTTTGCGAGTACTTTCCGCTTTATTAAGCTTCTTCAGGCAAATTTTACCAATTCCAACAATTGATGTGACGTAATAACGTCATGGTTACAACAATGAACTATAATGGCTATAATAAGCACGATAAGATAATATTGCATACATTATGTATCATTAACAAAATTATTAATTAAACATTTATATTTTACACAACTACAATGTTAATATAACAAAAATCAACACCTTGAATTAAGCAATGGTTTGAATTTTTCAATAAAATATGATTCCTTTGCTTCTAATAGATCGTTGTTTTTGCTGTTTAATTGATATAACGGAAAGACATTAAAATTGCATTTGCCACAAACATCGAGGTGTCGGCTCAGGGGTATCAAAACGATTTCTGGATGATTGTTGGTGCGTCCTTAATATAGAAGATACAGCGATCACCAAACTCCACGATCTCTTGAATAGCCTAGATGTCGATATTAAATTCACTGATGAATCTAGTAAAGTAAAACTAAACTTTCTCGATGTCACGGTGAACCTTTTACCGAATGGTCAAATTGAAACTGATATGTATTATAAACCGACAGACACACATCAGTATCTCAATTTTAATTCATGCCATCCTTCTCATATCAAACGTAATATTCCGTATAATTTAGCTAGACGCGTGTGCACCATAGTTTCACAATCGGATATCAAACAAATACCCCTAATGAGCTTAAAGGTTTTCTAAAAAAGCAACACTACCCGACAAAGCTAGTAGATGATGCCATCCGAAAAGCTTTAAGTTTAGATCAGAGCAAATTAAGGTGTCCAAAAACGATTTGTGAAACAAAGGGTCACGAAGAAGTTGCTTTAGTAACTACTTTCAACCCATCACAAGAAGATGGTAAATCTATAATTAATAATAATCTCCATATTCTTAAAAATAGCCCGATTATGGATGATATATTAAATAAGGCAAAAATAATAAATAGTTTAAAGCAACCTCAAAGCCTGGCTAAATTACTAATCTCATCAAAATTCGAATCAACTAAAATCATACCCACAGTTAATAAGTGTAATGAATCCAAATGTAAAACGTGTTCAATCATAATTGAAGGTTCATCCATAAATATCACGGACAATTTTACATTTCATGTAAAACAACCAATGTCTTGTAAATCCGATTACATTATATATGTAATATTTTGTCCGGGCTGTAAGGGTAGATATATCGGAAAGACCATAAATATGCTTAGATTAAGAATGAACCTCCATCGACAACATATTCTTAATCCGCTATACAGGATGATACCCCTCAGCCGACACCTCGATGTTTGTGGCAAATGCAATTTTAATGTCTTTCCGTTATATCAATTAAACAGCAAAAACAACGATCTATTAGAAGTAAAGGAATCATATTTTATTGAAAAATTCAAACCATTGCTTAATTCAAGGTGTTGATTTTTGTTATATTAACATTGTAGTTGTGTAAAATATAAATGTTTAATTAATAATTTTGTTAATGATACATAATGTATGCAATATTATCTTATCGTGCTTATTATAGCCATTATAGTTCATTGTTGTAACCATGACGTTATTACGTCACATCAATTGTTGGAATTGGTAAAATTTGCCTGAAGAAGCTTAATAAAGCGGAAAGTACTCGCAAAAACCTAGTTTTTTTTCCTAAAACATCTTTATTTCGAATATCTAACACCTAAGAGTAGCTTTAACTATAACCTTTTATTATATATATATATATATATATATATATATATATATATATTTATATATATATGCGTGATTAACGTCCTGTATTATGGCCCCTGATTGTACGAAAAATCGCGTTTTTAGCTTGTGGTCCCTCTAGACGTCACAATTATCGTCCGATTTATAAAAACGTTTGAATATCGTTACACCCTAATGGTTGAGTTCGAATTACGTGAAAATCGGACCAAACCTGCCGGACAAAATGGCCATCCATCGTTCAAAAATAGTATACATATGGTATATCAATGTTGTCTATCCTATAGAGGCCCCAATTTTGATCCGATTTCGATGAAACCTGCAATTCATATCTATAACCCAAAGATCGTAGTTCCATTTGATATTCGCGCATATTAGATCGTAACTTCCTGAATTATAGTCCTTGATTGTACGAAAAATCATCGTGTAGAAAGGAATTGGACCACTGGGAATACTGAAGATGATGGAGTTGTTGCTGTGAAAGAATTATTTGATTTAAAATTCACAGAAATCTAAAATAGCTAAATGCTTCAGCTGATCTAAGATTTATTAATTTGGTCCATTGACTAACTGGGTCAGCCCGTCATGAAAAATTTATAACTGTACAGTTCTTGTTAGAAAAAACAATATACATAATTTATATCCATACAGAAAACAAAGGTTCTTTTATAATACTGATGCACAGAGTAAAATTAAAGGGATTGAAAGCTTTAAATAACTCATTAATGAGAGAGCGAGAGAGACCGCTTTATTGATGTCTGTTGATATTGATTTATGTTTGATATAATATGTATTTTGAATAACGTAACTTTATCATGTATGTATCTGTGTATGGTTTTTCATTGGGGAATAAACTGGTTTAGAAATACCCCCCCCCCCCCAAAAAAAAAACCGATGAGCTGCACCTTGGTACTTAAGTTTTTCCCTCCTCAAATGTGAATACAAAACACTGACCTCTTTAATCTTGTCTTTGAGGTTGTCCATTTCTCAGTGTTCTTTCTCCTCCAAATATCGAACTAGGGCCAGTCGCTCAAAACTCAAGTTATTTTAACGTGATAACGTGTCGTTTGATAACGGTCCGTTTAATTTATGTTGCTGGAAAGTCAATTTTATTATCTGTTAGCTGACGGACTGATTAAAGTTAATCCAAGAAAAGATTGTTCATTGGCTGAATTTTAAATTTCTAAATTCATAGAAGTTAGTATTAACAAGAATCTTAAGACAGTCGGACAACTGTGCAGTTTGTTCACAAAACTTGATTAAAATTAAAACATAACTGTAGAACTTACTATAGAAAACACTATAGAAAAAACTACAGAATACTTAAAGATACATTATGTAAGATTTAGATAAAGAGCTAGTCATTCTTGCTATAATAGTTCGAAAATAGATAATGTAAAATGAATAATTTGAAAATTTCATTCAAATTACTCTATTGCGAACGACGATTTTAGCATTTGAAGGTTTGACAAGACGTGTGCAATAATTTCAACTACCGTACTGGTTGTTCGAAGCTAAGTCTCGCTCCTCCATTTTTAGCTTAAATCAAAATATGGCTGAACTGTTATAATCTATTTAATATCGGAGAAATCCGATGCCATCGAGAGTTGATTAGGGCCTGGATAAGTTAATTAATGTCTAATTAATAATTTAGAAAACATTTCAGGCCTAAAGAAAGACCTGCAAAAGGCAGATTTAGCTATTGCATAATGTATGTTTAAATTTTTCCTTTAGAAATTTTAGCATAAATCTGTAGGAAGAATTGAGGGATTTGCATTACAGGAACTGTATAATATTAGGGGCCATTATTTCCTGCAGGCCCCCAAAATTCTGTAGAATACTATAGAATTTCATCCTATAGAAAATAGAATAGCTCCCCCCCCCCACCCCGCAAGGCAAAACGATTGAAAAAAAATAATAGTTAGATTTTATTTACTGGGACTACTCAAAGTATTTACAGTGTAAAAAGGAATTCATATAACAAGCAGTAGATCAAAGCATTTTAAATATGAGCTAAGCAGTAGTTAGTATTGCTTGTGTAAATTGATGTTTAACAACAATTAATAGGCTATACCATGCAATCCGTAACTATTATCCAAGACTGATACATCATCGTGAATACATATATATAAGAGTTAGATGATGCACTGAGTATAATAATTATAAGGTATATTATTTTTGAATCAAATAAAATGGGGTTCTACGTGCACCCATGGCCCCAACACAACTCTATATCATTGTACCTCTCACTTCTACTTCACAGAGAGTTAAAACATCGGTAGGTTTTGTAATCCGTACCCATCGACCAATAGCTACTCCATCACATTCAAAGGTTCTGATTGTACAACCAAATATCCCTGGTATAAATTTACACACGGTAAATGCCGTTGATGGTGATGGCGTGGTTTCATAGACTATGATACTCGTATCTGACAAACGATGTCCAACGTCTGAAATTTAAAAAAAAATAAAGTAGATATATTTCTAAAATCAAAACACACTAGTCACTCTTAAGTGCCTAAAATGACTCGAATTCTTTGATAAGGTAAACAAGATAGTGGTCGATTGAATTAAATTTAATGTGTTGCTTTGTTTAGTGGGGTGGGTTATGGTCTGCAATTAATATTTTAGGTCCACAGATAGTCTACGTTCCGATTTGTCCAATTTTGTTTTCCACTATTCGGTGAGTATCTTTTTGCCCATTTTTGGTATTTAATTTTGCCTTTTCGGGATTTGGCAATTGGGCTAAAACGGGCCCACCGTCTACTATCGCACAGCTAACATTAGTAATCAAACTATCTTCCCCTCAATATTTCCAGATGAACAAATTAGTCGTATAGAGATATTACCATTACACCAATATAACACATCAAATCAACCCAACTAATTTTTCCTCTCGATGAAATAGGGTAATTTGCTCCCTTTAGTACCCTATCAATATACATATCAAAATGATCAGGGGTGTGTAGAAGGGTAGGCCCGACATATGTAGTTATTTTGTCTCTCATAACAGGGTAGGCCCAGGTAGGTTCGGTATGTCATGTCAGTTATAATTTGTAATAAAGCTTCACCCAGCGTACTTCCTCACTCTTAGTTTAAACATATTTTATTGACAAATATCAAAAGGATTGAGCACAAGTTTCAAAAACTTAGAAAAGCCCTTTCCATACATAGAAATGATAGACATTATTTAATACTAACAAGATTTCGAAATAGTATATACAATAATAAATAATTTATAAGTAATATAAGTAAAGTCAGATGAATTATATCTCAAAGCTCTATATAAAAATAAGTGAAGAGGTGATAAAGAGAATATAAAATTATATTTAAAACATTGAAAAATAAAGTTTAATAAATGGGATATAAATGAACTGATGCATGTATAAAATGATAAAAAAAAAAAAAAAAAAAAAAAAAAAAAAAAATGGGGGGTGGGGGGTGCGGAGAAAAAAAAAAAAAAAAAAAAAAAAAAAAAAAAAATGGGGGGGGGGGGGGGTGGGGGGGTGCGGAGAAAAAAAAAAAAAAAAAAAGAAAAAAAGTTATCCACCAAAAAAGCTAAAGCTAATAATTTATTCTAAGATGTAACTACTAACAATAACTTTTATTTAAATTTAAATCGTTTTGAAAGTTTGATATATTTGTGAACTTCAAGGAAAAGGTTTGTATTCATCTCAATTGACAATTCTGAATTGCCGCACAATAGGATATCTATATTTATCACAGAATAACTTGACAATGTATTTAATAGTTCAGCACGAATTACATCATATAAGTGACATTGCAGGAAATAGTGTTCGGCATTTTCTATAAATTTGCCACAAGAACATGTGGGATCATTCACAACGTTTATTTCATACAAATCATTTTGCAACGAACTACACCCATGCCGTATTCTAGTGTGAATAATATTTTCATGTCTATTACCTTTACAGTAGTAGATTGGCGCTTTATGTATTAAGGAACGTAATTTTTGTTTGTATAGATATTTGAAGGATTTAAGAGTGGTTGATTGCTTTATGGGGTCCTCTAATAATTCCCAATCTCGAATTGTTGTGGGGAAGTACGAAGTTTGGTGTAATGCTGTTCTACAATAAGGATATCTATATTCGCTTATGTTTCTTAAATTGTATTTTTGTGGTGTTTGTTGATAATATTCTAGAATGTCATATAAGTATGCTGGGTTTCTCTGATTTTTAATTTGAAAAAATGTGGTTAGTCGCTTTTGTGTACGTCTGTCTGACAATTTATTCCATCCGGTTTCAAAATAAAGCGCTTCACGAGAACAAGTTTTAGTTAGTCCAGTCACAATCCTGGCAGCTTCTAGCTGTACCTTTTCAAGTTTTTCGGTATTGGAAACGTTACACCCATCCCACACTTCACATGCGTATTCCAATTTTGGCCTTATGAATATCAAATATACGTTATTTAGAGTTTGTCTATTAAAGGTGAATTTTAGTTTACGCAAAATATTTAATAATTTTGAGGTGGACGAGATAATAGTTTCTATATGGATGGTCCATTTGGCGTCATTTGAAAGGGTAATGCCCAAGTGTTTGTGACATTTAACCACTTCAAGTGCTTGATTATCGAATATCAGACTCGGATAATTTTCTGTTTTTATGGAGCTAAATAAAATAGCTTTTGTTTTGTTTGGATTAAAGTTTATAAGCCAATTATTCGCCCAAATGTTGAGATTTGTCAGATCGTAGTTTAGGGACTGTTCTATCTCTGAAACTGACTGTTTGCTACACCCAAGTGCCGTGTCGTCTGCAAATAATCTAGCCACATTATGGAGTACATCTTGTACATCATTGATGTAAGTCAAAAACAAAAAGGGGCCCAAAACTGATCCCTGGGGAACTCCTGATTGAAGAGTAATTTCTGATGACACAGAGCCATTTACGAATACCCGTTGAGTCCGGTCTTGGACATAACTAGACAACCACGTAATTAGCATGCCTGAAACCCCATATTGACTTAATTTGTGTATCAAACCAGGTAAATATACGCGGTCAAACGCTTTAGATATATCGCAAAAAACATAGCAGGAATATAGTTGCTTATCTATTGCAGATGAGATATCATGATACACTTCTAAAAGTTGATGAACAGTAGAGTAGTTCGGTCGAAACCCTGATTGGTATTTGTACAAGAGATTGTTTTCATGAAAATAGTTAAACAGGTGTTTGAAAACTACCTTTTCTAATAATTTGCTCAAAGAACTTAATAGGCTTATAGGTCGGTAGTTTGAAACTAGAGAGCTGTCTCCTTTTTTATAGAAAGGTAGGACATTTGCTTTTTTCCAAATTGTTGGAAAAACGCCTGATTCTAGTGATTTGTTAAATATATATTTTAATGGTACACATATTGAGGTTTTGGTATATTTTAGTAACTTGTTACTAATATTATCAAATCCATTGGCTTTTTTCAATTTCAGTGTACTTATAAGATCTGCGATTTCCTTTTCTTCGACTAAAGGAATATCAAGTTGACAATTTGTTCGCTTATTGAATTTTGGTAATTCTCCTTGCTGAGTGTTATTTGAAATTGATCCGAAATAGTTGTTAAGTAATTCAGCTTTATCAAAATTTGAATGAGCAATTCTTCCATTGGGGTCTAAAAGTGGAGGAATATCATTTGATACATTTTGGCCTAATACTTTCCTTAAATTATTCCAGTAATTCTGGCTATTTGTATCGTTAGAATTCAAGAAATTTGTGATTTCTTCTTTGTATTTTGTTTTTAACGCTTTTTTAAAATTATTTACTTTATTTCTTTGAACTTTGTATTTTCTTAAATCGCATTCATGTTGTGTTTTCAAAGCTTTTTTGTGTAACCTGTTTCTGATTCTTATCGCTCTACGTATTTCTGTATTGAACCACGGTTTGTCAGTTAGTCTTATAGTTATTGATTTCTTTGGTATGCACAATGTAATATAGCTATTTAAAATTTCATAAAATTTTGAACATACTAAGTTAATATCAGAATTTGCAAAGGTACTCTCCCAATCGTGTTCTTTGATAAGAGTATTTAACCTATTATAATTACCATCCTTATATACAAATATCTCCCGTTTAAAATTCCTGGGACTTGAAACTGGAAAATCTAATAATGCATAAACACCCTTATGATCGGATATGTCAGGAGTGACATTAATCGTTTCACTGGAACTAATCTGAATTTCATCATTTACTAAAATTACGTCTAATAAGGTTGATGACGTCCCAGTAACGCGTGTAGGTTCATCAATAACATTTCTGAGATTATTTAAAGATAAAATATCCCGTAGCTTGCAGCGTTGTGCTAGCAAGTCATCATTTAGATCACCTAAAATTACAACCTTAAGCGTGGTTTGATAGGCTAGTTCAATGGATCTTTCGAACAATGACCAGAATTCAATTGTGCTGTTTGGCGGGCGGTAAAATAAGGCAACAAGTAATACGGTGTTTGGAAATTTGCATTCCACCCAAATACTCTCTATACCTGTAACCTCAAGATCATCTCGCCGTTTGCAATAAATGGTTTTATTAACATATAATAATAATCCGCCACCATGCGACGTCCGATCCTTCCGGTATGGAGAATGGTAACCGTCCCATTTTAGAGATGAATCTAACACATAGTTATCCAGATGAGTCTCAGTGAAACTACAAATATGGTAATCATTGACATCGTTGTATATTGTTTCAAGTTTGTGTCTTATACTACGTGCATTTAAGTGATAGACTGATAGGTTTTCATTTGAATCGTGATTTGAAGGTCCAGGATTTTTATGAACGTCTCCTGATCTTAGAACTAATAAGGCTAGAACAGTACTTAGCAGACAAAAATTATCAAGTTCACATAAAACTATTGGAGATATTATTCGACATTGCCATTTCTCAGATGTCTCGTGCTTTACTGTGTAGTAAATGTCAACTATTACAGTAGCAATGAAAATATAATGAGTGTTGCACTTGCGCCAGTATTGCACGAGGGGACTGAGAAATCATCAAACAGTTAGATCTTAAATATTTAGTGGTTAGTTTTGGTGGATATAGAGACATGAGAACATGATGTAAATAACTAGTAAACAAATAAAACATACATACAGACAAAAACAGTGAATTATTTACAGTTAAAGCAATAGTATAATACATAAACATTGAATGTTTCGGTCATAGTTAAGTTAATATAACAATATCGTACGATGATATCTAAAGCAGGCAATTTTGACAAAAAATGAAGATGAAGGTTAAAGTGATAATACTTAGAGGGTGGTCAGTTTAACAATCCGATATGCAATTTTGATGCAAGACTGATTTCCCATAATTGACAATTATTTAGATAATTGGCTGTTTATATTTCAGTAATTTAAATGGAATAAAAAACGAAATCAAAAGTTTAAACTGAGATGATAACCCAATTAGTTAATATTTGAATGGAACTTTTAAGTTGATAATTGAGAACTTTTAAAAGATACGCCCATAAATAATGTGGGCATAGTTTTATACATTCGATTTTTTTTATTATCATAATTAGTTATATAATAATATAAATGTATAACTACATGTAACTATGTATTATAAACTAAACAGTGGTCTAAGCTAATATTACTCTGTAATAGTTAGACAATAGGGAACCAACAAGTAAAATACATGTACATGACTTTACTTTACAGAAAGATTTTGTCATTGTTTTAAAAATCTAAGCAAACTTATTATTACATGAAGGATAATTGGGGCAATGGTGAATGCATGAAACGATTTGAGGTACTATCCAGTTGGTCATCAACTTAAAGATACATTATGGGCGATTAGATAAAGAGCTGGCATATCTCACTATAATAGTTAAAAACTAGATAATGTAAATGGAATTCGATTATCCATTTCATGATTAAATCATGAATGAAAGCTGAGCAGCAAATCGGATCCTACTCCAGTAAATATCGCAGGCTAGCGATGACATCGAGAGTTGATTATGGTCTGAATAAGTTTTAATTAATGTCTTAATTAATAATTTCAGGCCTAAAAAAGACCTGCAATACGCAGATTCAGCTCTTGCAATGGATGTTTAAATATAATTAAATACGTATATATATTTATGCATTTGTAGACATTAAGAAAAACAGGAAAAATCAGTACACAATAAGGTACAGTAGTTTGGGAATGATATTGATGAATGAAATTGGTTCAAAAATATAAAGATACTGTCAGGCATCATTATTTCTTTTTATCAGGCTGTGGGGTCGAGGCAAACCCGCCAAAATCTCGTAAGGATTGTTGTTTTAATGGCCCAACTCTGTTATCATCGTCTATACAGTCGGAAGATGTGTTGATTGCAGAATGTGATAAAGTAGCTTCGTTGTAGTTAAACAAAGACTTATTAGCTTGTGAATTTACTCTGTTTGTTGATGTATGAAAGTTATCGAAGTCCTGCTCACAGGTTATGACAATATTTCGGTCGTCTGCTAGAGGTCGTATGTAAACTCGACCATCATACGTCCAACAGTTTTTAATTAGCTTTGATTTAAACATATCACGACATCTTTTGTAGAGTGCAGCGCGTTTACGAGTGAGGGCTTCATTGATAAAGATCTTGTGAATCTGGGTGAGGTTTCTCTGTTTTAAGTTGCGTTTAGAACCATATATCTTTGCCCTGTCTCTATAACTATTGAAACGTACTATTATATCACGGCCCTTTTCTCTGCGTTTGGCTCCAACCCGGTGAGTTCGGCCAATTTGACTTAGTGTGAGTTTAGCCTGTTTTTTAGGAAGTATGTCATTGTTAATAATATTTAAAACTATATTATCAGTGTTTTCTTCAGGTGTTTCGGGGATGCCACTAAATTTTAGGCATGTTCGCCTAGAATACTGTTCTAAGTCATCAACTCGGTTCTCTAAATCATCTATACGATTGCGTAGAGGGTCTGTTAATGTTGGATGAATTATTTTTATAATGTGGTCCATGATCAAATCTCGTTTGAATAATTCTCCAACGAATGACTTTAAGGATGATTCATTCGAAAGAACATCATCTAAAAACTCAGAAATGCTATGGGAACTGGCACTCGAATCATGATTTCCGCGTTTACGTTTTATGGATACAGACCGACCTCTAAGTTTGGATACAACCGGTTCTTTCACTTTAGGCATGTTTGGTGTTTTAGTGTAAGGTTGAACGAATCTGGCTGTTACAAAATCTACTCACAACAATCTCACACAACTGAGTATATGTCAACCGAGGAAAATATCTACACTTGTAAACATCAAATATTTTAAAATCGGCTCTACATAATGTTAATCTAATTTCACAGAACACTTCGTCTTCATACTTATCTAAGCTATGCAGTTTTTAGAACCATAATTTAAAGTATACCACTCATGATTTATAATAACTTGCTATGACCAGGTACACGTGGCTAGCACGGACTTCATCAACCTTGTGCGGTCGGTGATCTGCTTTTACTCTGACTGGTGACCCGTCCCGATCAGTGGACGGGTGTTGGACTGGAAATCTATTATCTGCTAATAACTCACTGCCCTCCCGCCCGCCACACACACACACACACACACACACCTACATACGCGCACACACACACACACACACCCACACACACACGGACGCATAGACTGCCGCGGTTCCCGCACACACTCTTGGGAGGCATGCGATCTGGACTCTTACTATTTATTCATTTGACAGGGCCTACCTTCTTTTTAATGTAGGAAACGCCCCTGATAACGATTTAAGACACCCCTTGCAATTCAACACAAATCTCTATAGGTATCTAACATACGCAATTTACTACAAATGATGTTTAAGTGTGAATAACAGGACATCTAAAATTGAATATATTTGATAATCAATTACGTCAAATTTGCTCGAAATCCACCAGACATCACAATCGAAAATGTCAGCAATTGTCCCAAGCTAAGATCGGAACGTTCGTCGGCAAAGTAAGCCCAAAAATTTTATTTTATAATCTGCTGTGTGCGCCCGACACTTTTGGTTTAGTTTGACCGGACACACACCGTTCCTATTAATTACGAATGTGTAATATTTACCTTGTTTATCGTCAACTCTGTTACTAATCGTAACACTGGTAATGTTATATGTATTCTGTAAATCAACTTGCCACCAGGGGTCAGTGTCACTGGCATCTGTAGACTGGCAATTGTTAATGGTAGTTCGCTGATCACCGTCATTAGCAAACTCAGGTGCCAAAACATCCCATTGTGAACTATGTGTAGATGGTTTATTAAGAGCAACGTTGGGCCCATCTTTGAAAAGATATAAAATTAACGTACATAATATGGGTGACATATGAGTTACATTATTTGAGCCGGTTCCTTTAAGGTGACAAGTCAGAATGAAGGTCCCATAACTGCACTAAAACAATAAAAATAACGTTACACGCCTGTCCCATTGTTCGTAATCAGTTGGTTGTTCTCGGGAAACATCATTGAAAACATATTTACACCCTTAAAGTTCACATATCAAGATTCTTTGGATATCAAAGCTAAGGATTACCCATGAATGGGTTAGAATACTATAGGGACTACATACAGTAGAATTTATTTAAGTTCTGTAAAATGCTCTGGTTAATGTATTGAAGTTGTTAGCTAGTACCAGTGACAAAAAGAACTAGGCTAACAAGAATATGTCTGGTAGTTTAGAATCGGACAATGACATCTTGGTCTGATAATCCAAATATGGTTATCCCATGCGTTAAAAACATGGTTAGCCGCCCTCCTAGGTGCACATATAAGTACACTGTGTTGAAAGAGCAAGTTTAATTTCACTTCAGACATTGTTGAGAGGCTGTGAGATAGACGTCGTTCGGAGCTCAGGGGCAACATCGTAGCCTCCTCGGCTGAGAGGCTAGGATAGAAACAAAATGTAGTATTTAAACCGTTAGGTCTGAGTTGTAAAGGATGCCAAGCTCAGACCGTAGATAGAGACAAAATGTAGTATTTAAACCGTTAGGTCCGAGTTGTAAAGGATGCTAATCTCAGACCGTAGATATTTTAAAAACGCCTAAAGTTTCTATAATAGTTTTCCTGTATTTAACTTTGTAGTTTGCAGTATTTATTATATAACCTTAGTAACAACATAAACAGTGTTTCAGACTTAATTGATCATTGGAAATAGTTATCACAACGTGAAGTCGAAGAAAGTCCTAGACGATAACACCCCATAATGCTACAGTCCTCTCTTTATGGTGCCGTTGACTTAAGGATGTCAACCCTAGAGGAAATTCTTGCACGAAGTAGAAGTTTCCAGTCGTTTTTAGGTAGGTACATATTTCCTAGAAAACTGACCATGGAAAGCCAAACAGACCAAGGCGTACATTTAATGGAATTTTAGAGGTTAGGGATTTGCTAAAAATAAAGGTTAAAAGGAGGATTAAAAGTTAAAATAATTAAATTAAGAAAATCTAAGTAAATAGGGGAATAAATAAGAATCCTAAAATTGAAACGGTAAAGCTATGTAAAAAAAAAATATAAATAAATAATGTCTCAGGTTTAGGTAGGAAGAAAGTTCGGATATCGAGGGTTTGCATGTTTGAAGCAAAACTCCATAAGAATTATTCGGGTGCATAGATCGTAATAACTTTTCGAATGTCTAGAGGAGTGTTTAGACTTGAATTTTGTAAATGAATGTTATGTGCTGTTCTGTTCAAGTAATGTGTATATGTGTTTAACCGGGTATGGTTAAGGTATGGACCTGTGTAAAATCGCAGTAAATGCGTTTAGGTTCAGGGTAAAGGCTTGCCCAAGGTAAATTTAAAACTGAATGGCCTTTTTTAAATTCGAGAGATAGCTAGTGGGTCGGTATAAAGGTTTAAATAAATGGTTTAAAATGAAACAGTGTGCCTTGCAAGTGGTATAAACTGTTTCTGGATTATTCGTGTTGTTTTTGTATTAAAAATGTAAACAGGAGATAATAAGTTCAAAGTATGTGTTAAAAGCGGGAAAAAATACCATGGTAAAATGGGTAATTCAAATTTGGATTCGAATGTGCGGTTGGCTGTCGAAAAGATTTTGAATTCCCCGATATGTCATGCGTAGTTTATACGTAAAACCATACTAATGTCAACGGAAACGCCAAAAAACTTACTTTTAAATTGTTATTGAAATGGATTTACAGAAAAACATTCAAAATGTTAAAGCGAGAATTTCATATTTTCTAAGAAAGTCAAAACATAATTATTTATATGTTTTCTGCTCAATAAGTTGTCAACTCACAATTATACGATCATAGGTATCATTCTGACACTTAAAAATCATTCACCCCGAAAATATTACCCCCTCCCCCCCCCCCCCCCATGGAATAGCTATCTTCAACCGTTTGAATTTGAAGTTGAAAATTTTTATTTTTTTACCAATTTCTCGACTGGCAATAGTGAATTATAGGATTAATAGGATTATTCTTTAACAAGGTAGGAGTGTTTATAGATACCATCTATTTTAAGGCTTTATTTTAATACATTTTAAAAATATAACTTAAAAATATGAAATTATCACTTTATGATGAGGTTTCTATGTTATTTAGAAACATACGGTACCGCTGATGTGGAAAAGGTGTGAATATGATTGATGGTGCCAGCGAGTTATAGACATCACAGTTGTTTCTATATAAGCTTGGAGGGTATACAAAAAGCTGTGTATAGCTTCAATCTTAAGAAATGAAATGAAATGAAATGGGGTTTAACGTCCTACTGTTCTGCTCCTAACCTGGGCTAATGAAGACGGGCATACGCCATACAGTGTGCTATGAGAGAAATTTTGCCCGGGCAGCGGCGCTACAGCCTACTCTTATATCGAATTCCAACTGCCAAGGGATCTTTTACGTGCACGCCAATGTGTACACGGGACCTCGGTTTTTCGTCCCATCCGAACGACTAGACAGCTGTCCTTGTCAGGCCCTCCATCCTGTATCACTGACAAGGGGAAACCACGCCGGAAAATTGGGATAAACTTTCTCGGCCAATGCAGGGATCGAACACCCGACCTCCAGGCCAGCGAGCCAGCGTCTTAACCACTTAGCCACGTGATCCCCTCAATCTTAAGAAGAGTATAGTCTTAACGAGGCGAGATAAAAGAAATGCCAGTACAGAATCTGGTTTTTGTAGATTAATCAGAGTAGTCAAAACGTTAAATTACTGATGGCGGAATTATAAAAATAAAGGAAATTATGAAATTGTAGATTACCTGCACTGAGTTAAGGTTAAGAGGTCAAAGAAATTTGATACGTTTTAGAATTCTGATGATTAAAGAGACACATCAAAGTGTATTAATAATTAAATGAAGTTTTAATTTTAATTAAGGGAAAAGGTTTATAATAAGTTTAACAAATAATGTTAGGCTAATATTGAAATAAAGTTTAAAATTAGGACTACTTAGTTTTGGTCTGATAACAATGACATGTTTGACTTGAGGATGAGTGAATTTATCTCAACACAAGTCGTCAAAGAAGAAAGGAAATGCTGATTGAAACTTCTTAGAAGGCCTTCTGACAAACGATATACCTTATTAGAAGAAGAAGGCGATTGTAGCTGAAACAGACCAATGGAATCCAAGAGGATGAATTGCAGAAGTTAAAGTGAAAATGAACTTTAACAACACTAAGTGAAGCGTAACAGTATTTTTAAATTAGGACACATAAATAATTCAGGAACATTTTAGTTATATTTTTCTGTGTTTAGGTTAAAGTGGAAGAAAACGAACAATAGGACACGGAATTTATTTAGCGTTAAACAACAGTGAAATTACATTGACTTTGAAACGATGTTATTTATTGTGTTATAGCATGAATCAGTGTATTTATGTTAATGTAGCATGCATATCCGTGTAATGATATTATAGTAGAAGTAGGACCTGAAATATTTAATGGACAACTAGAAGTTTTTAGTACATGTAACTATTATTAGTGATTATTTAAAGATTGTTCGCGACATGGAATGACAATTTTGAAATGTCATTCTGAAAGTATTTGTATTGTATTGTATTTAATAGATGCTAGATAACGACGTTAATTAGGCAATGGTGCTTATTTAAAGTAGCTAAGTCTCTAACTCAATATCATCCAAAATCTTCAACATTGAAAACACAAATTATTTGTCAATTTAAATCAACATTGATGCTGTGATCTTACCGGAAAAAGATGGGCTTCTGATATCCAATATTTAAGACAAAATAAACATTTTGCCATTGGTACACGAATCGTGTACCATAATGCGTTCCAGCCCCAGTTCTAGCAAGAGACTCGAGGAACGAGACTAGACATATTGCACTAAACCAAACGGCGTATGTAGACTGGAATAACCAGACTCTAGAAATTTGCATTCGATTGAGACTGCTGGCTTATTTTGCGGAACATAACTGATTTGAAATTAGAGTATCAGTTTATATACATTCATATTACAGTATTATATGAGTTGAGACCCACTTGTGTCAATTTCTAGGTCCCAAATGTTAGTGATTTAGCTCCTTTAACTCATTGCAAAGGGGCGTATTATAATACTATGGGGTCTATATACAGTAGAGTTTATTTAAGTTCTGTAAAATGATCTGGTTAATGTATTGAAGTTGTTAGCTAGTACCAGTGACAACAAGAACTAGGCTAACAAGAATATGTATGGTAGTTTCAAATCGGGCAATGACATCATAGTCTGATAATCCAAATTTGGATGTCCCATGCGTTAGAAACGTGGTTAGCCGCCCTCCTAGGTGCCCATATAAGTACACTGTGTTGAAATACAGGGTAGCGTCTGTACATCTGACCAATCCGATAAAGGAAGTGCCTGGTCAATTTCCCGGGGCTCTTTACTGACTCATGCATGTTTCATCTTTATATAAGAAAAAGCGATTTTAATTTCACTCCAGACATTGTTGAGAGGCTGGGAGATAGACGTCGTTCGGAGCTCAGGGTGGACGTTGTAGCTTCCTCGGCTGCGAGGCTGGGATAGAGACAAAATGTAGTATTTAAACCATAAGGTCTGAGTTGTAAAGGATGCTAAACTCAGACCGTAGTTATTTTAATAACACCTAAAATTTATATTAAAGATGTAGTTTTCCTGTATTTAACTTTGTAGTCTGCTGTATTTGTTATATAAACTTAGTAACAACATTAACAGTGTTTCA